GCATTGATCATCTTCTGTAGCTCAGGTCTAGCTGACAACCCACCCTCCACCCCAAGGCAGTGTTTCACTATGTAGCCATGGCTAGACTTTTACTTAAGATCCTCTTGCCTCATCCTCCCCATTCCTGGGATTATAGGCACACAACTGACTTTCATCAATACTGCTTAAAATTTTTTAAAAAGTGCTTGTTTTGATACCACATACACTTAGCCTGGCACCTGCTCAAGGATGTCATGCAAATTTGTGAAGAATTCTGTAGTTCTAAAATACCACAACTATAATTCTGCTGTAGATTGTTATAAGGATTTTGACACATGTTGATAAAGTGTACTAGGTAGTAAACAAGTATTTTTTTAATGATTTATTTATTTTTATTTTATGTATACGAGTGTTTCACCTGCATATATGTAAGTGAATCTGGGTCGTGCACACCCTTCAGAGACTAGAGGAGGGCATCAGATTCCCCTGGACTGGAGTTCTAGACAGTTGTTAGCAACCTTTTGGATGCTGGGAACTGAACCTGGGTCCTCTGGAAGCACAGCCACTGCTCTTAACCACTGAGTCATCTCTCCAGCTCCCCCACCCCCCTTTTTGAGACTGTCTTCCTGTAGCTCCAGCTAGCCTGGAAATCACTATGTGGACCAGCCAGGCTTTGAACTCACAGCGATCTGCCTGACTCTGCCTCCTGAGTGCTGAAATTAAAAGCGTGCACCACCATACCTGGCTAACAGCCATATGTATGTGTGTGTGTGTGTGTGTGTGTGTGTGTGTATGCACATATATACACATATATACATAATTTTTTTTTTTTTTGGTCTTTTTGAAGCAGAGTTTCCCTGTAGCCCCAGCTGGCCTCGAACTCACTATGTAGATCAGGCTGGCCTCGAACTCACAGAGATCCACTTGCCTCTGCCTCCCAAGTGCTGGGAATGGCCTTATTCTTAAAATAAATTTGGTTATAGATGATACCTTTGTCCAGAAAAGCAGACCATATTGTATACCTGCATTGGCAGAGGCATGATTTCTGAAGGGTTCTTGCCATAGTGTATGACCATAGCCTGCTCATGAGATTAATTCCAGACAAACTCAAATAGAGAAACAGTCCACACAATCACTGGTCAGCTTACTCAGATATGTCAAGGCTGTAAAATTACTACTTAGAAATTCCTACCAAGGGGCTGGAGAGAGAGCTTAGCAGTTAAGAGCACTGGACACTCCTGCAGAGGACCCAGGTTCAGTTCCTAGCACCCACATGGCTTCTAACAGCTGTCCATAAATCCAGTTCCAGGGGATCCACTTCCCTCTTCTGACCTCCATGAGCATTGCATGTACATGGTCAGCCATGCTTTTAACTGCTGAGCCATCTTTCCAACCCCAGAAGCTAGAATTTCTTGCATGCTTTCTCCACCTAAGGTCTTAAGGGTTTCTTGGCATAAGATTTTACTTAGTGCATGAGTCATGAGCTCTGTGGTGTGCTGGGTCCTCTCAAGCCTTTTCCTCCTCTTCTGTTTAGGAAAGCTATGCACTTAAGCACCACCTGGGAGCTTGGGAGATAGCTCAGTTGGTAAAGTACTTGATGCAAGCATGAGTCTCTGAGTTGGAGCCCAGAGCCCATATTTAAAAACAAAAACAAAAACCTGGCTTGGTGGCTTGCTCTGGGGAGAGAGACAGATGGTTCTCTGGGGCTTGCTGGGCAGCTAGCCAGCCTAATTGACAGGTCCCAGGCCAATGAAGAGGTCTTGTCTCAAAGTGGAACCTGAGGAATGACACTCTATTGACCTCTGGCTTCCACATGCATGTGCACAGGTGTGTATGCACACACATATACATACATACCACCTGGGAAGCTTGTTTTGTGCAGTGGAATGAGCCTAGTTTCCCAAGTTCTGTGCTAAGGTAAAACTCAGGAAGATTTTTGTGATTTATCAGCTTTTCAGCAGAAACAGCATACTCTGCTCTGTGGCTGCTATGTGACAGCTGGCTGAAGTTTTTGGTTGCAGTATTAAATTCAGCTGTCCTTTTGACATGCTTGGCCATTTAACAATATTTGCTCACAAATTCATTGATTTTTCTCTTTAGAGGTAGATTCCTCTAGGTGTAGACTGACTCACCTCTGATGAATAGAAGTGACAAATGCTACTTCAGAGAGATTCCTAAAAGGTATAGTTTCTTGGATTGCTCACTTGGGGAAGCTAGCTATCTTGAGGACGCTCAAGACAGCCTGTGGCCTCTTGCCAAGAGCTCAGTCCCACATCCCAGGAGCCTTGCAGAGCTGCAAAAGATGTTTTATTTGTTCTTATATCCTGTTACTCAGCCCTACCATTACTCTTTTTCTCTGTATTCTTTGGTTATGGGCCAGTGAGATGGCTCAAGCAGCCTGACCATCTAAGGTTGATCCCCAGAAACCACATGGTAGAAAGAGAGAATGATTCCAAGCTGTTCTCTAACCTCCACATGTATATGTACACCATAATGTTCACAACACAAGTAAATAAATGTAACTTAAAATTTTTATTTGGAGCTGGGCGTGGTGGTGCACGCTTGTAATCCCAGCACTCGGGAGGCAGAGGCAGGCAGATCTCGGTGAGTCCAAGGCCAGCTTGGTCTACACAGTGAGTTCTAGGCCAGTTGGTGCTACAGGGAGACCCTGTCTCAAAAAACAACAACAAAAAAGTTTTTTATTCGTTTTTTTTGGGGGGTCTTTTTGAGGCAGAGTCT